AAGCATGCTTATAGGACAAGGTCCAGTTAAGAAATTGTCAGGTTGCTGTGTATGCGCTTCTGGTAGAGGTTAGACCCTACGGCGCTTTTGCATATTTTGTGTAAGGCGAAAGCAGAAAGTTTCACAAAACTAAAACGGACGACGACGTCGACTCGTCGTCCACAAGATGATGGACGCCCGCCCGCTGGCGACCGCTGGGAGTTTAAACGTCGACGCACTTAGCGGCCGCCTCGGCGAGTTGTTAAAAATTTTATTCCTAAAGTGCTGGAAAATTGCCGAGTGCCCACTTCAAAGCAGCGGCAGCAGAAGCAGACCCAAAGCATTGCTCTAGCCCGCCGAGAATCCGTTCATCCCTTAACCATCGTCAGACCGCGCCAGCGCCCAACCACAAAGAACTTTTCGGGCCAAAAGTCGTTGTAGCAATCAAGTGGCGGGGGCCCGAGACGCGGAACATGGGTCCAGTAGTAGCGAGACCCGTGACGGGCGACGGGAGACGGCAAACGGGAGACGCAGCATGAGCTGCAGTAGACGGACGATTCTGTTGTGGGTCTGAGTCGGGTGCAAATGTCAGAAACTGTTTCGCCTGCACTTCAGCTGGCTGCGCTTGACTTTTCTCCTCGTTTCATCTCGCGGCAGATGATTTCACTACAGTCCGTGCGGCGCCGACGGGCATATCGATTTTGTGATCACCCATGCTCGATTAATCGAGTAAACACGTGCCAAAGATCTGTTAACCCAAAGAGAGAGAGAGAGAGCGAGAGAGAGAGAGAGAGAGCTTTTAGCCGATCAGCCATCTTTTACTTAAAAGCTTTATGTCATATAGTTAAGCTTTCAAATTATATTCAAATTCTATGTTGAGCTGAAGAGGTCTTTTACAGTATCACTTAAAGGCCCCCAAATAGCAAAAGAAATAAACTTAAAGCTCAGCTGTGGGTCGATTTGTACTGACCCTGAGGGAATTAGTTAAAAGCTCTTGAAGAAAAATAATGTTGTTGATAAGATGTTTGCCACGGCCCAGCCACTAATTACTTAGAAGCTTCATACCAGCTAGTCAGCCCACAAATTACATTTAAGCTTTACATGCGAGCTAAATAGATCCCTTAACGAATTACTTAAAAGCTCCTAAATAGCGAATATGCCGCACAATATACAGATATAAGCTTTGCATTACGAACAACATTTTTAAAAGTTTGCAGAAAGCTTCTCTTAAAGCTTCTCCAAGTTATAAAGTTCAGCTGTGCAATTTCGTTTAAGCTTCTATTTGAAAGCTTCTAAACTATTGTTAAAGCTGCCAAACGAACTTTAAGTTTGTCTTAAAGCTTGGCACACAGCGATAGATAGCTAACCCGAGAAATGATCGCTTGAACACATTTTTGACAATCGATAACTGCGCTGCAGGGGCAAATGCAAAGTCGGCATTGCCGAAACCATTTGATATTTTCTTTGGCATTGGCTCGCTCGGGTATTACTTTCACTTTGCCAGCAGTTTAGAGCAGCAGTTTTGAGTGCTGGTACTACATATTCATTTATCATTGATAAGAAACATAATCATGGAAATGAATGAATGCCTGACTGAGCAAATGAATGAATGAGCAACCCCAACACACACACACAGACACACAATCGCAGTTTACGAACTGTTCGCTGTGCTGCTTGTTCCGACTCGGAGCTGAGTTAAGTTCCGAGTGCTGGCGCCTGGTCCTCTGTCCGTGCCCCGTCGGGCAGCCAGTGCAGCTGGCTTGCAACTGTGAGTTTGAGCAGCGGCATGTGGCAACTGTTTCCACAAGCCCCACCCACGCTGCACCTTTGCCGCACTCATCTATCAACTGGAAACTCAATGCGCACAGTCTTATAAATTGTATACCCCAGCAGAGGCTATTCGAATTTTGTCACGAAAGCGAGCCATGTTTTTCTTGCAAGCTCGTATTTCATTAAACTTGCCCGGCTCGCACCTACTAATCGCTAGGCTGCCATTAGATAAATTGTGCGGAGTTTGGAGTTTTTCTATACAAAAAATAAACACAGGAATGCTCTATTCGAAAGAGCCAGCACCAAGCTGAATATGCTTAATGGTATACTTAATGGTGTTCCTTCTTGTGCCTGTTAAATTTATGTTATTTACTCTTTCTTGCCAATTCTAATAGGTTTAGAGATTGCCAGAATGGAAGATATCCTGTACGATATCCTGCTTCGGTGCTTAAAGTCCGATCTCTATAGAGCACATCTATGGCATTTAAAAGTATTTATATACCTAGCACAAAAACCGATATTTATCGATTTCCTTGAAGCTGTCGAAGCTATCGATTTGAAGTAGATATATGTATTACCAAGGTAACCGATATATAGAATCTATATACATAACATACAGGTACAGGGTATTAAAATTTAAATAGTTTGAATAGGAATGCTTCTAACGCATTCCAAAACTAAGCTCTTACGTTGGTTTTGCTTTGATCTATGTTCGTATGGTATTCCTGCCACTCTTTCGCTCTCTCTACTTTTCAGTCGAGCTCTCTATCTTTCGCTATAGTTCTCGACCCTTCTTTGTGCCTAACTAGCCCAAATTAGTTGACCCAGACAGGCAACGCGAACACTTGTCGCTGATAATTATGCAACTGCAACAAGCGAATTGCGCATACAAAATTAATGGGCGCGTGGATTGGGCCAAGGTGGGTGGACAGGAGCTCCATGGGGGTTTTTGTTGGGCGCATGGGTCTCATGTGCTGGTTAAAAGTCAATTAGTCTAATTGCCCGAAATGCAATGAATGTCAATTTTAATGGGGCCAGCGCACATGGACAGCAGAGCATTAGGCAACATCTAGCTGACACGCCCAGCTGCCCCATCGCCTCAATTAGTGGCACGTTAAAAGCTGAAAGCTTTCTCGAGACAACTTTTCAGCATTCACTAAAATCCCAACAAACAAACAAACAACAACAACAGCAGCAACAACAACAACAACAACAACTGGCTGTTAGCCCAAAAAGGACACCAGTAAAATTTGCACCTCACTTTGCTAATGTGGCAGCTTAGCAGCAACAAGAGGCCGTCGCGTTGAGGGGGGGTAGGGGGGGTAGCTGGTAGCAAGGCAAAGCAACATTTTGTTTTGGATATCAACTGAAATTCATTCAGCACACACAAAGCATTAAAAGGGTCAAAGGTCGACTAGCTGGCAAAAGATAAGAGCAGCGGCTGGCAAGGCGAGAGGTGCCAGCTGCGGGGGGGATGGGGAGGCGAGCACTAACCGAAATGATGTGCCAATTAATTAAGTTAATTTTTAAAGTTTTATGCAAAGAATTGCAAAAGTTTTTTGTTTGCCCCCAAAAAGTTGCCAACACGCAAAATTCTTTTGGCCTTTTGCATGGCAGCTATATGCAGTATGTGTGTGAGTGTGTGCGTGTGTGTGTGAGTGTGTGCGTGTGTGAGTTGTGGCCTGTGGCCTGTGGTGTTGGCCTCTGCGGCTCTGTTCATAAATGGGGCACATTTATGCAGGCAACGCTGCAATGCATCCAGGATTCGATTAAGCCCAACTGCAGCTCCAATCGATTTGTTTGCTGTGGCTGTGGCTTGATTGTGGTGAAAAGGGGCATGTGTGTGTGGCAGCGTGTACGTACATGGGCTAAGCAATGCATAAATTACGCACTGTAATTCAATTAAAACCAATTTGTGCACACGCACTGCCAACAAGCCGCAGCAACAGATCCTGCCTGATGCCCCGGATCAGCCCCGGATCATGTTTTCAGCACTTTTTTTGCCGCTTTGTTTGCATTCCAAGAAGAGCAGGCAGCAGCAAACTGCAAGCAACAGCATAATCATTAGCAAGCCCATCATTATCATCAACATTATCATCATTATCATCATCAACAACACAGCATGGTGAGAAGCCGTGGATAGCTGCACTTCAGAAGCAGCTTTGACAAATTGCCGCACGAACAGCAGAAACAGCAGGAGACTGGCGACAGTTGCCTCCACATTGGATGTTGCCACTGACTGTTGCAATTGTGTTACCTGCGGCTAATTATTATATTTTTACCAACTTTAGCCACTTGACGACAACCCAATTAATCAGTGTCAAGCGTCGTGTGGCAAATAATGCGCATCTCTCCCGCCCAGAACTGAGCCCAGTTGAATGCGCAATCGTTAGGAATCAAGGCTGCAAGCCGCCGCGTGAAACGCACCTTAAATCTAATTAGCTGGATAAAGTACAGCGCAGGCCAAAACAAGAACCGATCCATAATTTACATACTCTCTCTTTCTCTCATTGAAAATGCGTAAATAGGCTTTTACTATTGACGATTATCCGTCTGTCTGTCTGTCCGTATTAAAGAAATTGTATTTGTTGGATTCGTTCGACAATGTTCGCTTCCTGTAGAACTTTTCATCCAACTCTGGATCATTGATCACTGATCTGCAGACATTGATGTTGCCCTTAAATTATTTCATGATACCTTGTACTCGCCCAGCGAGTTCTGTTAGGCCTCCCTGAGATCAAAAACATGAAGTTTTCCTCTAATAAAGTCATCTATTCTAAACTATTTAGCAAGTAGAAAGTCTTAGTATATAACATATTCGTAGATTGTATTCGATATCTCGATATCGATAAGAATCGATATTGAGATTTGGTTCTTGAAGCAAAACTTAGATACTCTAAGAGCTAAGATACGCCAGAAAGTAAACATTTGCTACTGGAGTTGAACCGGCGACTTGTTAGCCTGCTAGTCCGACGTTAAGGCGTCAAGTTGACCAAGTTCTATATACAATATGGAGCCGTTTTTTTTTTTTCGTAGTTTAATAGTACTTTGTCAAATGAAAAATTGTTGTTAATCGTTGCGCGGAAATGAGAACGAACGAAATGCTAGTTTTTGAGCAAAATTTTATAATATGGAAAGAGTTTGATTTGAATTTGATTTGGATTTTGGCAGCGTAGAAGGCCGTTTTTATATGTCATCAAAGTATATATATTTGGTCTGATGCGGGAAAATTTTTGTTTTTTAGCAGGCTTTTCATGTATAGCTATTTTGGGTGTATTTCAATTTCCAAACAATTTTCTCTACGCTTCGACACTTTTAGTATTTAAAGTCAGTTCTTTACCCTATTTTCCGATTTTAAATTGCATACAGTATAAAAGAGGTCCAAGGTCTATTTAAGACGAACGTACCAATAAAAATTATCTAAGCCACTTTCGTTGCCAACGTAAAGAACCACAAAATTCTTTGAGTTTAAGGCGCGTGCACCTCAATTGGGGAGCAGCGCATATAAAAACACCCGAACCGTTTCGGCTAACCAGTTTACCAACCCAGTGACAGCGTTCTCATATAAAAGTAAAAGCCACTGGATCTGGAATCGCTAGGCGGCAACCGCCACAATCGGGCTCAATACAAGAGCAACCACTGCGCATTCTCACGCGACACAGAAGAAGGACGAGGTGTAGCCGCCGATATAGTATGAAGGCCGATCAAATAAATCGGCTAATGCGGGTCAATGGGCGCAAAAATCTCTGGTTACTGCGCAACACCAACCAGTTATATGAGAATGCAGTGAAGAGCTACTATGAACGAAGCACCTCATTGCTGCCATATAGTCCGAGTAAGTATATATAATATTATGCTCGGAATGATAGCATTTTTGCAGATATATCCGACGGAGAAAGAGAGAGAGAGAGAGAGAGAGGGAGGGAGAGAGAGAGAGAGAGACAAGAGAGAGAGAGAGAGATAGAGAGAGAGAGATAGAGATACATAAAGAGGAAGTAAAGAGAGATGGATTAAGTGACAGATATAAAGAGAGAGATATAAATATAGCAATAAAGAGAGAGAGAGATATACAATTACAATTATAGAAAGAGACAGTTGAAGAGAAAGATATATAGACAGAGAGAAAGATATGGGACATAGAATAGATAGAGCGATAGATTGATGGGAAACTGTGTCGCGTTGACTTCTCTTCACGGACTTAAAGGTCCACGCTAATGAATGCAACAAGCATTCAAGAGTATTCTTTACTTCTTTGCATAGTCTGCTATTCTAGATAGTCCTAGTCTTAGCTTGTTGCACTTCAGGTTCTTTTGAGCGCATTGCATCGGGATTCACGCAATCTTCGATCCCATAAATTGTGCATTTTTATTATTCTTGATTAGTATCCATCGGCGAGTCGTTAAGCTGTTTGACCTTTCTGTCTGTCTGTTTCTATGTTGGCCAGTTTGTGTTTTACTATTTTTTTTATTTTTTTTTCTTATAGTGTCTCAGAATGTAAAGGTACGTGAAGAGAATCGAGCACCCTTGCGTATATTGACAATGCAACGGGAGCGGAGTACGGCTCCGGAGTATCCGCGCAATCACAAACAGATGGCCGATCAGGCGGCCTGCGCAAATTCGGGTCATCTGTTGAATACGGTAATTCAGGCGAACAGACGGCGCTCCATGTCATTCTCAGCGGGCGGCTTGCGTATGTACGGCAAACAGATATTGAATGACAACGGCGGCGAGGGTAAGGATTCCAGTAGACCAGATAAAAGTAGCACCAACGTGGTGAGTGGCAGTAATTTGAAGGGTAAGCAGCAGCGGACGGATGGGTGTGTGAATGGAAATAACATGGATTTGGGCGGATTTAGTGGGCGATCGATGAGCTTGCCGCCGCGCACAACGCTGGAACTGGGCGTGGGCTATGCGCTTGGCAAGGGCAAGGGGCCGCCCAGCTGTAAGCATCATTTCATTGCGATTGAGAAGACAGCGAATGCTGGTGCGGCATCATTGACAAAGCGCCAGCGTAGAGACTATGACAACGATGCCGACAAGCTGATGGTTGTCGACGAGGCGCTAAAGCAGCGCCTGGCCGTGCGCTTCGATCGCCAGCCCGAGGACGAGCCAAGTACGGCGCGCTTTCGCCTTGGCTTCGGTAGCGCCGGCCTCATCGATGGCCGCCAGCTGCCGGGGTTGCCCAAGTCATATACAATGCGCGGCGAGCAGGCAACGCCCCATAATGTCATTAAGGAGCAGACACGCTTCCAGACACTCGGCGAACGGATCAGACAGTTTGAGGTTATACAATTTGCGGACGGCCCAGTTGCATATCAGGCGTTCAATCGCCGACAGGGCTACGCCAGCGGCCGTATCCAACAGATCGGCAACAAGCATTTACCAAAGCAGGAGCCATGCCTGAGCTTCCACAATGTGCTCCATACGAATCACAGGCAGCGCAGCTTTAACTTTCAGACCCGATCGCAATCGCTCGAATCAAATTCGGAGCCGGTTTCAAGACAAAAGGAACCTCTGGCCGCAACGCAAGTGACAAACACAACTGGTAAACGCATTAAGCCGCCGCTGGGGCCGCTGGGGCCGCTGGCGCCCAACTGGCGACCACAGCAGCAACAGCAGCAGCAGCACGAACACAAACTAGATGCCTTGCTTCGGCCGGTCTCGATTGTGCCGACGCCACCGTCAGCGCGGACCAAAACGAAGCTCAAACAGTGCAAGACGCCAGTCAAGATCCGGAAGACCAAATCAAAGCGGTCCGTCAAGCAAACAGGCAGCATTATCAGCAGCAGCAGCAGCTGCAGCAGCAGCACCAGCAGCAGCAGCAGCAGCAGCCCAAAACAAGCCAACAGCAAGACCACCAATGCCGAGGCCATGGAGATTGTCCAGAGCAAGGTTATCGTACCGGATGAGGCAAAGACCAAAGATGCATATGTCGAAGAGTCCAATCAAAAATCGAACAGCCATGCCGACAACAATGCCCACAAGGCAGCCCTCTCCAACAATATAAGCCGCACCAGCCATTTGTTCTATATGAAGAGCAACTCCCGGCGACAGGAGGTGCCGGCGCCCCGGCTGGCCGAGCAGCTGCAGGCTGTGAAAAAGATGCGAGTGACACGCAAGTTGCCAGTGGAGCTGCCCAAGCAGCCGCAATCAGTAAAGGGCGCCCATCATCTGTTGGCCGCCAGCGCTTCACAAGTGTCTGCCTATAAGCGCGCCTATAAGAATCGACAGCAAATACTTCAGGCCGAGATGCTGCACATACATGCACAGCGATTGCCCGAGCAACATCAGCAGCGGCAGCAGCGCTTTCAGCGGCAGCAGCAGCAGTGCATTGCCCAGGATCAGCCGCTGAATAAGCCATCGGGCTATTTCCCAACGGCAGCCAAAAAGTATTCGATTTCGCAGCTCAAGGCTGACACCAAGACGCTGGCCAAGCACCCGGCTAAGAGTGCGCCCACAAAGAAGACGTCCGTGCAACAGCAGCAGCAGCAGCAACAACTGCAGCCGCCGGTTAAACTGGAGCCACCAAAGCGAAAGGTAAGACAACAGCCGGAGGCAAGAAAGTTAACAACGCCGCAGACAGCGGCCCAGGCCCCGCCCCGTCCCAGCTATCAGCAATCGGTGTCAGTTCTGGCGCCCTTTGACCCAAAGCAACGGCGAAAAACTGTGCCGCATTTGGCCTATGCATACAAGTCCGCCGGCCATGTGGCTGCCGTCGGTCATGTGGCTGCCGCCGAGCAGAGTTTCGGCGCCGGCTATAAGAGGCTGCAACAACAACAACAGCTGCATCAGCAGCTGCGCCAGCGTCGACAGCAACCTTTGGAGAGCCTCTGGCGTCGCAACTACTAACGGCAAATCCATAAGCAAACGCATGCCGCATACACGCACACGCATACGCACACGCCCACGCCCGCCCATACACCCACACACCCATGCAACCATACAACCATACACCCATACAACCATACACCCATACAACCATACACGCATACACACACACACGCACGCACACACATGACCCACATACCCAGTTGCGAAACACTGCATTGACCTGTCCCACACAAAAACATAAAAGCCAAACGACACTCGTTTTGGCCAAATAAAAAATAAACGCTAAATGTAAACATTGTGAACTGCGATTGTGCATGGGGGGGGAGAGGCAATGCGAAAGCGAATGCGAGAGCGAATGCGAAAACGAACGGGAGACCGAATAGGCAAGTAAAAGCGGATGCGGTAGCGGCTGCCGAAGGCCAATTCTAATTTCAATAGCCCAGAGGCACACCCACACCCACACACACACACACATACGCACGCATACACTCAACAGCATTAATTTTTCATGCAGATTTAACCGTTACATGACAGGACCAACTAACGATAAGCCGACGTCGCCGCCGCCGTCGCCGCCGAAAAAGCAGCGCAAGAAAATGGCGACGGCTTTGCTTTGGGAGGGGGGGGCAGCAGATGGTGTATGTCAGCCTGCGAATTGTTGCCGCGCTTTGATAAATGATGATGCGTTGTACATGACTCGCCATATACGAGTGGTCCGCGCATCATAGGCCTAGGCCCAGCACTCACTCACACTCACTCACTCACACTCACTCACTCGCTCACTCACTCACTTACTGACTGACATGTTAGCTGTGGCCCGGCTGTTTGGATGGAGCTTGATTATCAGATTGACAAACGAACCTATTGACGCCGCAACGGAAAACAACAAAATTAGGACAACGCGAATGACAACAACAGTTTCCTAACGCAAAAAAAAAATAACAAAAAACACCACACAGTGCTGCACCATTTAATAATAGAATGTTCATACTAACCGGCTTGGCCGTTCTTTCAAACAAGCTCAAAGAATGTAATTGAGAGAGAGAGAGAGCGCGTAAGAAGAGTGTTATTCTATTTATAGATTACAGTTGCAGCACAAGAGCAGCAAAGACAATGCACAAACAACGATTATGGAAGAGCGAGAGAGCGAGCAAGAGAGAGAGAGAGACTTACCCAATGTGAATATTAAACACACAATTAAATGCACAAATTAATAAACTTAATTGTTTGAACTACTTTAGCTTGAACTCGCGACAAAACAACCGTTCCCGATAAACTAACGGATATATTAAGATATTTAGCAATAACTTAGAATAACGTATCGGCTGTTTAAACAAAAAAATCAAAGATGCGGAGCGTCTGTTCTTAAAACGTTTTGCTACTTATTCGCCTATTCGTATATATGTATGTATGTATGTATGTATGTTTGTGTGTTTGCATGTATTAATGTATGCTTATGCAAGTTTGTATGTATGTGTTTTTGCATGTATGTACATTTTACATACATGTTTGCATTTTGCATGCGTATGAATAAATATATGCATGTACGTTTGTGTGTACTTACATAGATATATGTATGTATGTGTCTCCCTCCTGCAAATAGATGCAAATATAATAATCATGCCTGTGTGTGTGTGCACCTTAAGGCAGTTCAAACCTGTTCACACATACAATATACATACATACATTTATATATATACATATTTATTTGTTTAGTTCTCAAGCAGTGTTAATTTTCACGAAATCGATTTAAAGACGATTTTGAAGTAGGAAAATTGGGATTTTTTAAACGAAGTCAGGTGAAGCCCAAAACCTTTTTTGCAACTTTTTGGGTAACCTTACCACCCCTCCCCCCCACCACTTACCATTCATGCTCTCTTCTGAGCCAAGGCTAAAAAAAAAATTAACGAAAAGAAAGGCAAAAAGCGAGTGCAATTTTCATTGGCATAAATAAATAAAAATCACATGAAATTAATTCCGACCAACAACATGGCATGCATAGCCCCCCCTCCACCAGGCAACCCCCGCCAAAATTTCCACGGCAGCCTTCCACATCAGCAACTGCTGCCCAGCCGAGCGCGCGAGGTCCACACATAAAAGGCTATAAAATTAAATCAAATCAAATGAAATGCGCATATGTATGGGGTTTTATGAGTTGGCCAAGGAGCGGCAGGGTAGGAGCGGGCGAGGGGGCACTGCTGGCGGCAGTGGCAGACAACTTAACTGAGCTCCAACTCCGGCTTCTGGCCAAGCAACAACCGAAAGGATTAAGGACAGCCGCACACAAAAGGCATCTTGGCAGGCAACGATGCCAACAGAAGGCAAGAGCTAACTGCTGTAGCAGTTGCTTGGCTAACTGCAACCTCTCCCACTCCCCCTGCCACATGCTACTACCCTATTAGCTGCTGTGCGTTGGGCAATAAAATAAATCCACCGCAAAGCCGCTGCGGCTAGATTGCTCGGTTGACCCGAAACTCTGCTGGTAGACAGCGCGTGCGCCCCGCGGCCTAGCAAGCACCTAACCTATATTTGCCCCTCTCCCCCCCCCCCCCCCCCCCCTCCTAACCCCTTAAACAATCTAATCGCATGCTGACAGTCGTCCAGTGTTGGTCAGTTGCTCAGTTTTTAGCGGTTAATTTCGCGTTTTGGCTGCTGCTTTGCGCAGCTTGTTGTTGGCTTTCGCTCTGCTTAATGTGCCTGCCTACATTTATGCACCAGAGCGCAGAGGGAGAGAGAGAGAGAGAGAGCGAGAGACAGTGGAAAAGACAACTAGCAAGAGGAAGAGCAGATTTGTTGTAGATGAAGCCACTTCACATTGTCGCTTGTTGTCCGAGTTGCGATTTCCAGTGCAGATTTTTGTATGGCACTACACTACACCCCCCCCCCCCCCCCCCCCCCCCCCCCTCCACCCTTCATCGCGCTCGACCTACACTTTGTGTGCTTGTCACTCGTTTTTGTGGTCATTTCAAATTTTCATTTCATTTGCCATAAAAAGGAAATTGGTTTTGTATGCCAGTTGCCTTCTGTCAGTGCCTTTGCCTTTGCCTTTGCATTTATATTCTTCGCCCTGTTCGAAACAAACGCTATGCGATAGAACAGGGGAGGGGGGGAATTCGCTTTGAGTTGATTGTCATTGCCTAACTAACTGCATGGCTATGCATACACACACAAGCACATACATACAAGCACACACACACACACACACAGTAGCACAAAATGACGACTGGCAAGTGGCGGCTACCTGAAAGCACACAGAGCTCAAAATTGTATTGTTCCCGGTTTAAAGGCTTTTGTCTGTGTGGCTGCTATTCGAGTGCATTGACAGACCCCCCTCCCTCTCTCTCTTCCTCTCCAGCTAGCTAGTGTGAGCTGGAGAGGGATCAGCTTAGACATAACAGTTGGTCTGCAGTGTTGGAGAGGCGAACTGAGACGGTCGGAGCGAACGGCATAAGCTGCAAAACAGAATCATAAAGCATGCCTGTACGTATGCCCATTACTTGATCTATGCTATATACCCTGCTATTTGTCTACTTATTTACCTAACTGTACAAAATTGCCTTTCTGTTACACACACACACACAGATGTCGCACTCTCTCGCTCGCTCTCATTTTGTTGCTGTTTTGCAACTAACTTGAACAGTTTTAAATGCACTTTTTATTTTCGAGCAAAATCTCAAAATAGCAAAAGGAAGACAAACAAAAACTTATATTAAATTAACACTCACAGACAGTAAAATTCACTGTGCGTGTGTGTGCGTGTGCGCGTTTCACTTTCAAGTCAGTCACAAACAAGTCAGAGTGCTCTTATCGGGCATGCCCGACTGCGCGATACCCTGCATCAAGCCTGACTAGCATTCTATTGCCCTTCTATACAGACACACACTTGAGCTAACATCTTTACAGTCGCCAGCATGAACAAGAATATATATATATATAATTTATAGAGTCGGAGATAACTCTTTATGCCTGTTACATACTTTTGCGCAAAACGTTGATGCCCTTTTTAGCGCTTTTAAATGGGTTCAGGGTATAAAAACTGCGCAAAATTTTTAGAGTTAAATTCAGGTCAGGGTTGCCAAGCGCTGCAATGATGGCAATGCCAGAGCAGCCACAGCCAGCTACAACAATGTGGGTGGACACACACCAACACCAACACACCAACACACACACGCACACTTCGCTAGAGAAACGCACGGCGCGAGTTTAGTTCAAAGGCTTTCGGCACAAAAACAAAATAAATAAAAAAAAAAAAACAGAAAATTAACAAAAACAAAAAAAACAAAGGTAAGCAACCAACAGCAAGCATTCCAAGTGCCATTATGCAATAAACATTTAGCTGCAGCCCTCCGCGCCGCGCAGCAGAAATAAAAACTCGCGTTGGCGCAATTAAAACTTGCGATGCCTTAAATAAATCACAGCATGAAAAATTATTCACAGCTCCCTAAATACGTGCACTCACCTCAAACAAAAACCCAAAAATAAATTTGAAAAAAAAAGCGGCGCGAAACAAATAAAACAAACAAAAAACATAACAATTATGTTCGTGTTGCCAAAGTCTGAATACCCTAAAGCACATAAAACGTACGACAAAGATTTGAATACATTTTTGTTTTCTTTAAATTAAAATCATGTTTCGTGCTTTCCACCCAACTTCCACCCGTGGAATGGTCTAAATTGAACCCAACTGCTTTCAACTATCGTTTACCCAGCGTATAGCTATACGATATTGGTTACGTTAACTAGAAAAAAGGATTCTATAAAGGAAAATATTAATTAACAACTTTTCACATAAAGCTATCTATATACTTAGTATTATAGTATTATCAAGGTCAAGATACAAATTTTGACAAACAGCAAAGCTTTTCTTATTTTGCAATCGATCGTGCCTAGACGCGTGCATAGACAGATGGACATAGGTGTATATGACGCTTTCGTATGGAACTCATAATACCCTGTGAAAGCGTATAGAAATGAGAAATGGATAAATTAACTTGTAAATAGTATCGGAAAAGTCACCTTCAATGAATTTGGACATTTTATAGAAACAATTTGAAAAAAAAGAAGAAGAGAAACCCACGCGCACGCACACACAGACACATCCGGTTAGAAATTAATAATGCAATTATTTATTTCTATTTATTTATATTTGTTTTGTTTTTTTTTTCGCCAACAATAAAAACAAACACGAATAACGGTCGAGCGGCGCATTTGCATTCGGCTACAGCGGATGTGCGGATGTGCAAATGTGCGGATCTGCGAATGTTGTGTAAACTGCAATAAAGAACACACACACACACACACA